CATAGGGAAAAAAAGAAGATATGTTTTCTTTAAAAAAAAAAATAAATAAAGCAGTGTAACATTTGTGTTAATTCTGTTGTGTAATTCTAAGCTGGCTAAACAGGTTAAATCATCCTCAGCACTTTAACCCGCCCATCTGATATGCATAACTTTGTCAGCACCCCTCAATTCAGCTGTTAAAAGTAGATTTAGTAGTTTATTGTAGATTTTTAACCACACATTCTGCTCTTAACAGCATTTGTGTAGACCAGCATGGACATGGAGCAGCTTTTCGACATCTGGGAGGGAAAGAATGGGACGGAGTCTGTAGATATTCTGGAGATGGTAAAAAGAAGTCCAGCAGAGGTGATCTACATAGGATTCTGAGTTAAGTTGGGATTGATTTTCCCACTGAGGTTTGACACTACTGTTAAAAGAGGGATGATGGAGCTAGAAAAGGTTATACTGTTTATGGATCATGACTGTGTCTGATGCGGTTGCTGTTTAGATAAAGCTGTGCTCCATCCATGCACTTATCTCCTCCATACAGGCAGTGAGTTGTGATGGAGATGATGAAGTCGATGAGGGTAGGGTTGCAGCTGTGGCACTTACATAAAGTTGTATGTCATCTGTGTAACAATGAAATGAGAGATCATAACGGCAGATGTTGAGTGAAAAGAAGTTGAAGTGGAGTGAGGTATATGATTAATAGCAGGGGCCCCAGAAATGACCCCTGAGGAACACAAGTTACTGTAATGGGACTGGATGTGGGCTGATCCATAGAGATGTATTCTGTCTGGTTTGTCAGGTAGGAGTGGAACCAACTGAGCAGTGGGAGTCAGTCCAATGGTGAAATGGAGACGGTTTAACAAAATGTCGGGGTTGAGAGTGTCAAATGGAGCACACAGGCCCAAGAGGATGAAGAGGGAGGAAGAGCCATCATCTGATGACATCCGAAGGTCGTTTCTGACTCTGATGGTGGCCTAGGCAGAAGTTTCCAGGTCCTAAGAACCCAATGTAGCTTAGAAATTGCTTCTTCTCAGCTTTACTTTCCTCATATTAATGGAAAAAGATGCAAAACAAGGATAAACATCAGTCAAGAGTGTTCAAGCCAAAATAAGGGAGCATTGGAGGGTCAGACTGTACACAAATGTTGCTGCATTTCTTCCAATTAGGAAAGTTAAACATTAGCATTAGCATTATGGAACAAGACCGAGAGAGTGTGAATATACAGCCTACTGGCTGGGAGGAGTTAAACTACTAATCACCTTTATGTGCAGGTTAAATGATTTTTATTATATTTATGTCAGTAATCATCCCAGAGTCCCATGATCAAAATGCTCTCACCTATTAATTCGTTTTGCCCTGGATAAAGGTTGAAATCATTGTCCACAGATATTTTTCTGTTAAAAAAACAAAAACAACAAAAAAAAAAAAAAACAATGAATTTGAACCATTAGGAGTATTTTATTAATTTAGGTCAATTTAAGAGCATAAAGACAGGAGGCCTAAAAGCCCGGCATTTGGAGGCGAATCTCCTACAGCTTTTAGATGCATGCTTGATCCAACCCACCTGAATCAAATGAGTAATAAACCTCCTCAGCATGCCGTAAAGTTTTACACATTTCATCAATGACATAATAACTTACAGCAAATAAGCATTTAACAGCTGCAGGATGGTATACCTTAATGAAACTGAAAAGTAAATCAGCTGACTAAATAGTAACTGCATTGTCAATATATGTTGTGTTAAATATTAATATCACAAAGCGCCGTTTGGAACACAATAATTATATTAAATATATTGTGAACTCCAACTTTAGATATTAATGTGATACAATAATATCCCCTAGATGACTGGAGACAAGATGCTAAATGTCACAGAGACTGTTTGAGGCACAGATGAGAATAAGAGGAAAGAAAATCGGTTTTATTGCAACTGATATCAGCACTAATTACCCAAAAGTCTTACCAACTCAGGATTCTCTAATATAGCTCAGCACTGAAGTCCACTGACAACAATAAAATACAGTTTCTGTGATGCTTTCAGCTGTAGGTAAAACTAGCAGAGAAGTCAGAGACTATTGTCTGCAGCCGTAGTGTTTACCTGCGCATGACTACAGAAGCTGCAAACATTCAGTCAGCTGACATTTTATGTTTTAAAGATGAGGGCAATGTTGTTTTTTTTATTATTACTTAATGATAACAATACCTGTCAAGGACAGTGGTACCCAGGGAAGCGGGACAGTGTGACATCACGGATTACACTAAAAACCACATTCAGCCTCAAAGGTAAAGTGTGACCCTTAAAAACAGAACATTTTACAGCAGAAAGGTGCAACAAAGTAAAAATAGAAAGTTTGCATCCCTGCAGGGAGGATGAGGATGAGTTTTTCTCTCCCAGTGATTGATGATTGTGTAAAACTAGTTGTTATAAAGAGAGTAAAGTTCTCTCTGGGTCCAAAATGTGAAGATATCACAGCGGCAGAGCGCACCGAGGACGCGCTCCTTCAATGACCGAAACCAGTAGACGTTCCATAATTCCTCATTAACTTAACGCCCTCAAACATTAGAAGAGCGGCATACATTTCACTCATCCGCTGACATCTCCTTAGCCTGCAACAGCGACTCTGTAACAAGCGTGAGGATCAAAAAAGGGCATCGCTAGCGTGATTTAGAGGAAAAGCTGACAAGTTGCATTTTGCCACCAGTTTTTCTCCCAGTCTGCAAGAAAAAACACACACACTCACACACAACCAGAAGACCCGCTGATGACACACACACCACAAAGAAAACCATTGTTCCTAATCTCCTTGTTCCAGTTTATCAGCTCGCTTTGAGAACGCTCGCTTCCAACACACACACTGTCAGAGATGGAAAAAAATAAACACTCTTCTGATCCGCTCCCCTCAAGAGGGCTTTGGGGCTCTCTGTTAACTCTCCGTCGATTGAGACAAGAGTCGACCTGGAAATGAAACAAAGGCCTGGATCCTCGCTCTCCTTGAAGTTATTCAGCAAAAAAATCTGTTGCAGCCTGCAGACACACACACCCTCACACATCCACACACACAGAAGAGGCTCGGTTTTCTTTCTTTGCCACTGATTTGCTCTCATTTTTCCAAAGCTCAATCGATCGGATTCCCTGGTCTGCCTGTAAACAATGAGCCCCTCTTCAAACACGCCATTAACCACGGGCCGTGAAAGTTCCGCTTTTATCAATAAAGATTTAACCTCTGCGATGAATCCAGACACTAATCATGCTGAGGTAAATGCCAGATGCAGAGACCCCAATTACCTGCTTGATACTGGCAAGGACAGAGGTTACATAAACACAGGTGGGGGCGGCGTTAAAAAAAAAAACAATTACGGGTCGGCGCTTGTAATTAACACGGAGGAGGGAGATGAGGTGACTTGAGACCCATTTAAGCAACAAACTTCATCATTTACACAGAAAAATGATTAAAAAAAACCCCGCTGCCATCTAAAGGTTCCAACGCCTTTTCTGTTATTATTGGTTTTGGAAGCTGAGGCTCCAGTGAGACCATTTATGGGCCTACTTCCCTGTTAGAGTGAAAATGTCGGCCTAATAAGTCACATGTAGCCCTGAACAAATGACCTGTGTAAAGGAGGCGTAATTGTCTTTTTACAGCAGCCTCTAAATCTCCCTATGACTTCCTGTGGCTGGCTCAGCCATGTCCTGCAGACTCCGGTTGCCTAGCAGCAGCTGTCCTCGACGTGTTTCCTTTTGTTGTTCTTTTGACTGATGAGAAACAAAGTCAGCGATATTTCTATTTAATCCTGTCGCTAATAGGCAGCACTATCAGAGATTGTTGCAGTGTGCATCTCAGAAAGAGATGGTGGGGATTAAAAGATATTGGACTCAAAGATTTGTCGTCATTATCTGGGAAAGCGTCCATCAGAAGTGAGTTGTGTATTTCGGAGGTGAAACAGGAAGGAGAGAGGGCGTAGTAATGCCTGTGCTTACCCGATGCCATCTGCATGTACCCAGCCAGGGTGCAGATCCTCCTCTCGCAGCCTCCGCCTGGCAGGAAGATGGTGATGATGGCCAATAGGGAGCTGACCGCCAGCAGGGCGCATCCTCCTGAACAAAGGACGGCGCTGGTCTGAGGAAAAACACAACATATCTGGTTAGATCAAGGAGTTCAAATTAAAGATTTCCTATCAGATAAAAAAAAAAAAAAAAGCAATCTGGTCCCTTTGAGAAGTTTTCATACACCTTAAACAGTTCTGCATCTATTTATTTCATGATAGGGGTGAACATTTTTCCTATCGTTTATTGCTATGGTAATAAGTTTCTAGTAACAAGAAAATGTTTGATTTATCATCTCAACCAGGGGTCTATAACCTGCAGCTCAGGAGCCGCAAGTGGCTCTTTAGACCCTCTACAATGGCGCTTAATAGTGCCTAGAAATCATTAATAATTAGAAATAATAATCAGTATTGTGGAAGAAGTGAACCTCCACTTCAGTCTAGAAGTTTTCTTCCAGAATCAGTTTCTTGAGCTCCATCTGTCTACCCACTGCCATGTTTTATACTTTAGATGGGGGCCTCAGGGGGCTGAGCCGTGAACCTCTGCAGCTCCTTCACTCTTAAGTCGTGCGTACACTGTGCGATTTTTTGTCCTTTTCGGGCCGACTTTCAAATGGTGGGAGAATTTTTCTATCAGCCCAACTTTTAGCCTGATCGTGCGTCTTGTAGTATACAGAGGGTAACGAGAGGCGATCAGCCTCTCACGACCACCTCCCGATCAGGAATCTGAGGTCGGGAGAAAATCAAACATGTTTAATTTTTAGTCAACCGTCGTGGGCAAATCGCTCAGTGTGCAAACAAGGATTCTTCTTCTTCCTCTCAGATTTAAACACAGAAACATGGCGGGGGTGCGAGTGAAATGGAGTTCTTTCTGTTAAATTGACAGACCGTGGTTGCCACGTTTGCTCAGCCATGTCTTTATCCAAATACGTCGCCGTGTTTTCTTTTTAGGGATTTAAGCACAAAGTTACACAAATTGCCACGGCAGCGCGTTTCACTCTAGTTTGCTTCATATTCCACTATTCCCCTTCTACTGGTTTGGCTTCTGGATAGACGAGTCTGAGTAGCGCCATCTCACTGCGGAGCTGAGTCCGACGCATTTTTTAGACGTATAGTGTGAGCAGGTAGATCGCATTGTGCTGCACATCGAGAGCTGTGAACTCACACTGTATGACGAAACCCCACGTTTTTTGTCACACTGTATGTGCGCGCAACGATTGAAAAAATCGCACAGTGTATGCCCGGCTTTAAGTTCTCCTCTGATTAATGCTCTCAATGTCCGGCATGTCAGGCGAGGCACAAGTTCATGTCTTGATGGTGCAAATGATTGACCTAACAAAGCTCTATGTGATGTTGAAAGGGTAGAATATATATTTTTAGACTTGTCTCCACTTTTCTCCCTGTCTGCTGTTTTCCTTGGTCTTCATGATGCTGCTGTAGGTAAATAATGCTCTTTTCATAGAACAGATTTTTTCATGCTGAGGTTAAATAAAATCTATGTTGGCTCAACTAATTTCCTAGGAGAACCTCCTCAGGTTATTTTTAGCACCCGGATTGAACATTTGTATTCAGTTGATCAGAGTTTTTGTGGATTCCATAAACACAAATTCTATTCATTTTGTCCTTCTTTCACTTTATGCAGTAAATACAATTAAATTTTCGGATTTCCACGGACATAATGTAAAAAAGTTTAAGGGGTGTGAATACTTTCTCCTGGTTTCTCACTATAAAAGATTATCCTTTCCATTAATGTTTTTCAAACCATATTACAAAGTGTTTTTTTCCATTAGTGTAACATCACAGTCTGTCTTCCTTGCAAGTTAATAACCATCTCAGCTGGAAATCAGCCCTCCAAGACCAAAGCAGAGCTACCTGTACCTGCTCATTACACCTCTACTTTATCACAAACACGCTGAGAGCAAAGCAGAGACAGAAGTTCCCATCAGATATAAATATACCAGGATAATTAAGGAAACTCCCATAAACCACCCTATTAAACTCACACTGCCTCCCAAAGGTTTTAACACCGCTGGAAGTTTTCCACAGTTTTGTCAAGTTACAACTTACTGAGATTTTATGTGAGAGATTAAATCTAAGTAGTAGGAAAAAAACAAATGTGAGTAAAAAGTGTGGCGTGTATTTCCATCATCTGCTAAATAAGATAATTGTATCTGTATTCAACCTTTTTTTTTATTTAAATAGAGGATTTACAACTTTACTGAGTGTAAATTGTGTTGGAGTTAAATTCAGTGCAAAATTTGAAAGCCGTGCAATGTAACTTTTACTCTATATAGTGTATAATATATCAGAGTTATATTCAACTCTGCAGGTGTTAAAGTTATACTTGTTTTCTTAGCGCAGTTCATTTGTGTGTAATCACAGTAAAAGTACAGTTGTTTTTTTTTTTTAAGTATTCTGTTGTTTGTTCCAGAACATAATAAAAATACATCAGCACTGCAACCAATCAACAAACAACCTCTCAAGGAGAAAGTTATATCCTAAACTGTCATCTCGAAGATCTCAATTCAATGTTTGATCCAAATCGCAAATTAAAAAATGACTAAGCAAGTAGAGCATTTACTGGGAAAGGAGCCCACAGTGGCCATGAGGGTCTACAGAGATCAACAACTAAGATGAAGGAATCTAGTAGTCAGAGATGGGATCTTTGAAAGAAGCCGAAACAAATAGATAATTGAAATTGAAAATTCAGAAACTGGTAAAAAAAAATTATATATATATATATATATATATATATATATATATATATATATATATATATATATATATATATATATATATATATGTGGAAAGAAAAACAAGGAAATCCTTTTTCCAGCCACAAAGATTCTCTGTTATGCCAAAAAATGGACCAAACAGTGGGACCCACAGTGGACCAGGCAATTCCACACATGAAAACACTGCTATTATTTAGTTCCTCCCAACATAAAAGAACATTTTTAGAAATGTTACAAAATTTATCTTGTTTTAAGACATGATTTCTAATTTTAACTGTTCAACATGCATATTTCTAAATTTAAAAATCTTAAATCAAGAATCATGTCAAGTGAAACTATCTTGCTGCATGGAAAGGTAATTTCACTTAATTTGGGAGGTTTTTCCCTTTGGATTTAGTTTTCTTTCTTGATTTTAGACAACCCTTATTTGCAGTGAACCTGCACCTGGAAATGACGATGATCTTCCCGACCTCAGTGAGCGATTGAACAAACAGGAACGAGGCTGAGATGAGACCAAATGTAGAACAGTTCAAGGAGTATAAATACTATTTTATTTCTACATTCCGCACATCAGTATGCCACCCAATTGCTTAACACTAATAAATTAAAAGTAAGCTGTCAATTCAAGTAGGTAAGCAAATTGATTTTTAATTAATTTTGGCACTTGGTAAGATAAGAAAAAAAAAACATCTCCATTATCTTTCTTCAAGTGCAGCATACTCATGTTTAACAGATCATTTTACTCACTTCCTGAAATGAAGGGAACATATACTTTATGCAAGAACTGTTTGCTTATTTTCAATTTTTTATTTCCCTCTTTTCTTTGTTTTTTTTTTTTTACTGTAAAGTTTCAAACTCTCAAAGGAGAATCAACAAAGGTTAAAACCCACTCGTGTAAAACGAGGAGTTCCATCCACAGCAGGTGCGACGCCGTGCAAAAACAGCTGATTAGCACCGCGTCGCAGGCGGGAGGGGCGATCAGAGGGATGTATCTCATATTCTCCAGGGAATGACTAGAAACACGTGTCATACCGTGTATATGTGATGTGACTGACGTGATTGGAAGAGTGATTTCCTCAGCTGACAGATGATTTAATTGGTTTGCTCTGAGTGGCTGGGAGAAAAGCTGCAATGAGAAATATACTGGTGGCAAAGGATCATTACTTGTTTGACCTTCATTTGCCAAGAATTGATAAGTGCGTCCATCATCAAAAATGTTCCGAGTAGATAAACAGAGCTTTCACCTCCTGTCTTAGAGGGCTAAGAGCTAAGTGCCTTGCCCACAGGCACCTTGACCAGAGCAATTAAGTAAGGGAAGATGGCATGCAGAGAGAGCGATATTCAGCAAGTCGTTTTACTGCAAATCATTTTGAGAACCAATAAAGGTTTAATTAAATTTAATTTAGATTTTATACCTTCATTATGAAGCCCGGTGATTATTTCTCAGCCCTTTGGCAGCAGAGCGTCAGGTTTTCTGTGCCTACTGGAGCTTCCATGAACACAGGCACAACACATGCTAATAAACTGCTTTGTTCAGCCATGCCTAGCGGGGAAAATTAACCCAACATAGAGACCATGATTGTTCTTTTTGTCTGTTTAAGAACACAATCAAGCAACTTATCAGATTGTGTTTTTTAGAGAGAACGTTGTATAACTTTTGGGGTTTTCAGAAACCTTATGCAGAGCATGGAGCAGCAGTCAACCATCAGTTCTGTTATAATACCAGGTTGTAAATGTCAAAAGCACACCTGGATTCCCTGAAAGTCAGTTCAGCAAAAGAAATAATTTCCTATCAAACCACTTTTCTAAAGTGTGAGAACAATCATTTAGACAGAAATGACATTAACGGCGGTTAAGTTGTGCTGTTGGTACTTAGCGACACAAGAAGAGAATGTAGAGATGAGTTATAAATCTCTGAGGTTTAGCTGTTCTTTCTTACTAAATTGATATTTATGCTTCCAGCAGAATGACTCCTTTCTCTTTGCTGCTTGATCTTTGTATGCCTGGTGGACTTAGAGTGCAGTTAGAAGCACATCATGTCTCATATAGCACAGCAAATGTTGAGAGGGAGGGCCAGTGATCATTATTTAGAGAACAATCAAATAGAAAAAGATGATTTTCCTGAATTAAGTGCAACTTTCAACATCAAAATCCATCATTTCAAATGGTTCTTACCAAAAGTTTTCCATATGTTGAATAGAAATTTGTTTGTTTATCCTCTTCATTTTTCAAGCACTTAATTATCTACTCCCAGCTACAGATTTATACACTTGACATTTTCCATGCCATTTAAAAACAACTCAAGACTAATAAAGAGCATCGGAGCGCAACGCGCAGCT